ACGTTCTTCCAGATATTACCATGGAAATACGCATACAGGGCTTCATTTTGTTAGTCTGTTTATAGTTGCCTGGACCCGTTCTCTGAAAGGTTGGCATCTCCTGAATAATTTCTCATTTGTAAAACTACCTCGTCCTTATCTGTCCCTCTAAGCTTTTCATCTTGCCTGGCTCCCTCTCCCCCCCCCCCCCTCCCTTTTTTCCCCCCTTGTTCTTCTCCGACCTTCTGTACGTGCTCTTTGGAACCTTTCTACTTACAAGAATACAAACCCAATGTATATGCCTAGCCTCCCTGTTTTTTTCTCCCATTTTGGAGTCTCCCCTCCTTTAGCTGTTCTCATCTTACAATAAAGAACAGAACACTGGTAAGAAATAAGGCAATCGAAGGCAGGAATACTCGATTACTAGTCTTTAAACACAATTCACTTGGTTCTACTCCGTTCAATTCTCACCAAGAGGATTTTTTGCCACCAAGGGGGAATGGGGCTGCCAAGCAATTTGCCATGAAACATGTCGATACACGTAACAGTACCTAGACACAAATCAAAAAAACCCTATTATATCTCTAATTCAGATGCATAAAATTACTAATGCCACAGCATCCTGTAATAAAGATCACATACTGTTCCTGACTCCTGCCCTTATTCTTGGTTTCTATACATAATGCAGAAGCACAGCACATTGATCACTCCAAACAACTTGACTACACCTCCACTGGAACACTGGGTTTGGTCGAACTAGGTTTGATGGCAAACTTAGAAACAAAACAACGCGCACACATACACAAAGAAAGCACACGCCTGAATTTTGGGTTCTTTTGCTCTAGTCAAGATATAAGCAGTTACCAGCTTTTGGTGTATGAAATGAGGCCAAGACAAGTGAGTTCTACAAATATTTACTCTGTAGATCACTTATTAGTCCCATTTATTAACATCAGCATTGTATTTTCAGTCACTAAACAACGTAAGAACAAAAAGTAGTCTCCTTCCACCAACATAAGCATTTTTATAGCTGCTAAATGATACTGGTGAACTACAGTGGGGAGAAAGAAACAGCTTGCACAGTAAGAAACTGACCCATAGTAAAGCCTTTCCTCAGGAGTGGGCCACCAGCTTCTTTTTAAAGTCAGTTCTATTGGAACACCAGTGGGAAGGGAAAAAGCAGCCTGAGAGCCAAATGAGCCTGGGACAATACCCGCAGGTAAAAAATTTTAAATATTGATAAATAACACCCCCCATCCCCCCAGTAATTGATGACCTATTCTTTCCTCCATTAAATTTTAATCTAGTACCAAATAAAATCTTTCCAAATTATAGCTATTGAATTAATCATCATAAAATTTCAGTTTGAGATACTGAATTAATTTGCCGTTTCTCTAAGTTTTAGGAAAGTTTAATATTTTAAAAAAATTAAAATAAATACGCCTTGATGGTTTTTAAATGTTCATCAAAGTTCTTGCTTACAGAAAGGTTTTGTAAGGCCATTAGTATTTTTATTGTTCATTGGTATCATTCAAGCCTGTACTGAAATACAACGTAAAGTAGTAAGGCATTTTGTCCTGACTGTCGTCGCCCATTTTTCTGAAGTTATTTTTGGCTTGTCAATTTAAACCAAGACAATTGGCTGTGCCGCTTTCTTCATCCACTTACTTTTACAATAGGACCCTGAACAGCTCCTGCTTTCATTAAAGCGTGAGCAAGGATCTTCTGTAGTTGCCTGGGGAGGACCAAGAGCATCAGCAACAGCGTGGGTAAACAAGCAGCAGGAA